ATAAAAATATAAAAGTTTCGGCCAATTTCCCACAATTTTCGGAATTTAACCAAAGTCATTTTCGTCGGATTTCGACCTCCAGAAGTTAGTTTCGGTCTCATTTCGTCGACAGCTTCTTCCACTTTTCCAGAATAGCTCAATAAAATATTCGAATTCTTTAGATTTAAAAAAAATTGATTTTCAAACCGAAAATTTTTAATGTCAACTGGAAAACACAAACGCGCCGTGTTTTTTGGAATCAGCACGACAAAATCAAAATGCCAGCAATTTTTTTTTTTTGTTAGCTAATTTTTCAGAAACAAAATTTTGCCCAAATTTCAATAGTTTCTAAATTTAACTAAAGACATTTTTTACGGATTTCGAACTCCAGAAGTTACTTCCGGCTTCATTTCTTCAATAGTTCCCCCATTCTTCCAGAATCGTTCACTAAATTATCGCAATTTTTTGGATAAAAAAAAATTGATATACAGACTGAACATTTTTGATGAATCTTCGGTGTGATTAAACACTTTGCAATTTTTAATCTTACCCGAAAAACATAGACGCCGTATTTTTTTTTTTAATCAGCATTACAAAATCTATAATCCAGAATTTTTTTGGGTTTTTCTGTCAAATTTTTCAAAAATAAAATGTTTCAATATAAAAATAATTATATAAATTCCTGCTAATTATCGAAACTTCAGTAAACACATTTTCTTACGAATTTCGAACTGCAAAAGTTAGTTTTGGCTTCATTTCTTCCATAGCTCCTTATATATTTCCAGAATCGTTAATTAAAATAATATATTGCCATTTTTTGGATTAAAAAAATGATTTTTAAACCGAAAATTTTTAATCTTCCTCGAAGAATATAATACAAATTTTTTTTCTCAAAATTTTTCAAAAAAAGAAAGTTCCAAAAACAAAATATAGAAATCTCGGACAATTTTCGACAAATTTCGAAGCTCATTTTTTCGATAACCTTACTCCATTGTTTTAGAATCGCTCACTGAACTTGTCAATTTTTTAGTTAAAAAAAATTGTTTATCAAACGGAGGACTTTTTTTTTATTAGAAGACCAAAAGCAGACGATGTTTTTAGAATCAGTACGAAGAAATCTATAATCCACCATTTTTTTGGTTTTTTTTTTGGCAACTTTTTCAAAAACAAAATGTTCCAGTATAAAAATTTAAAAATTTCGGCCAATTTCCTACAATTTTCGGAATTTAACCAAAGTCATTTTCGTCGGATTTCGACCTCCAGAAGTTAGTTTCGGTCTCATTTCGTCGACAGCTTCTTCCACTTTTCCAGAATCGCTCAATAAAATATTCGAATTTTTTGGATTTTAAAAAATTGATTTTCAAACCGAAAATTTTTAATGTCAACTGGAAAACACAAACGCGCAGTGTTTTTTGAAATCAGCACGACAAAATCAAAATGCCAGCATTTTTTTTTGTTGGCTAATTTTTCAGAAACAAAATTTTGCCCAAATTTCAATAATTTCTAAATTTAACTAAAGACATTTTTTACGGATTTCGAACTCCAGAAGTTACTTCCGGCTTAATTTCTTCAATAGCTCCCCCCATTATTCCAGGATCGTTCACTAAATTATCGCAATTTTTTGGATAAAAAAAATTGATATTAAGACCAAACATTTTTAATGAATCTTCGGTGTGATTAAACACTTTGCAATTTTTAATCTTACCCGAAAATCATAGACGCCGTATTTTTTTTAAATCAGCATTACAAAATCTATAATCCAGAATTTTTTTGGGTTTTTCTGTCACATTTTTCAAAAATAAAATGTTTCAAAATAAAAATAAATATAAAAATTCCGGCTAATTATTATCGAAACTTCAGTAAACACATTTTCTTACGAATTTCGAACTGCAAAAGTTAGTTTTGGCCTCATTTCTTCCATAGCTTCTTATATATTTCCAGAATCGTTAATTAAAATAATATATTGCCATTTTTTGGATTAAAAAAATGATTTTTAAACCGAAAATTTTTAATCTTCCCCGAAGAATATAATGTAGATTTTTTTTCTCAAAATTTTTCAAAAAAAGAAAGTTCCAAAAACAAAATATAGAAATCTCGAACAATTTTCAACAAATTTCGAAGCTCATTTTTTTCGATAACCTTACTCCGTTGTTTTAGAATCGCTCACTGAACTTTTTAATATTTTGGATAAAAAAAAGTTGTTTATCAAACGGAGAACTTTTATTTTTATTCGAAGGTCAGAAACAGACGATGTTTTTAGAATCAGCACGAAGAAATCTATAATCCAGAATTTCTTTGGGTCTTTTTGTCAATTTTTTAAAAACAAAATATTTCAATACAAAAATTTAGGTCAATTTTCCATAATTTTAGAAATTTAATCAAAGACATTTTCTTACTGATTTAGAGGTCTCATTTCTTCGACAGCTATCTCCATTGTTTCAGAATCGCTCACTAGTATATCGTAAATTTTTAGACTTGACAAAAACTGATTTTCAAATCGAAAATTTTTAATTCCACCCAGACAACATAAACAAGTTTTTGGAATTAGCACATCTACATGTCAGAATTTCTGTTGTTCTTTTTTGGCAAATTTAAATTTTTAAAAAACAAAATGTTTCAATACAAAAAAATCGGCCAATTTTCACATTTTTTAAAACTTAACACTACGTTTTTGGAATCAACTCGACGATTTTTTGTTGTTTTTTGGGAAATTTTTCATTAACAAAATGTGTTAGTGCAACAATATAAAAATTTCGGCCAAATTTACACAGTTTTCGAAATTTAACTGAAGACATACTTTCGGCCTCATTTTTTCGATAACCTTCCCATTGTTTCAAAATCGCTCACTAAAATATTTAAATTTTGTAGATTAAAAAAAATTATTATCAAACTGAACATTTTTAATCTTATCCTTTTAGAACTTTTTTAGTGTTTTTGGCAAATTTTTCAAAAATAATATGTTTCAATATAAATTTAATTATTTCGGCCAATTTTCGGCGAGTTTTAAAATTTAACTAGAAACATTTTCTTACGGATTTCGAACTCCAGAAGTTACATTTGGCCTAATTTTTTTCGATAACTCTGTCCATTTTTCCAGAATCGCTTAATAAAATATTGCAGTTTTTTTATTTTAAAAAAATTGATTTTCAAATCGAAAATTTTTAATCTTAGCCAGAGAATATAAAACGTTTTGGAGTCAGCACGATGATATCTTAAAGCCAGATATTTTTGAGTTTCTTCTGTCAAATTTTTCAAAAAAATAAAAATATAAAAGTTTCGGTCAATTTTCGAAACTTAACCAAAAACATTTTCTTACAAGTCACTTTCGGCATTGTTTTGATAGCTCCCTCTGTTGTTCCAAAATCGCTTACTAAAAAATATTGCAATTTTTTGGATTAAAAAAAAATTTCAAATCGAAAATTTTACATCTTACCTGGTTATGCTTTCGGAATCACCACGACAAAATCTATAATTCAGAATTTTTTTGGTTTTTTTAGTCAAATTTTTCAATTTTTTGGATTAAAAAAAATTAGTAATCAAGCGGGAAATATTTAATCTTATCCGGAGAGCAGAAACGCACGATGTTTTTAGAATCAGCACGATGAAATCCATAACCCAGAATTTGTTTGTTTTTTTTTGTCAAATTTTTCTAAAACAAATGTTTCACTATGGAACTAAAAAAAATTTCGGCCAATTTTAGACAACTTTCAAAACTTCACTAGAGACATTTTCTTACGGATATCAAAGACCAGAAGTTACTTTCCACCTCGGTCCTTCGTAACCTTCCTGGATTGTTCCTGAATCGCTCACTAAAATAGTGAACAAAATATTTCAAATTAAAAATATAAAAACTCTGCTAAATTTAGACAATTTTCGAAATTTATCTAAAAACATTTTGATAGAGATTTTGAACTACGGAAATTACTTTGGGCCTCGTTTCTTCAATAGCTCCCCCCCATTCTTCCATAATCGTTCACTGAATTATGGCAATTTTTTGGGGATTTTGACAATTTTGACTACACGGGTTGTATCAAATAAAAGAAACACTCTGTATATCATGGTTTCCTAACAAATTCTGTGTTAAACTCCCTCAGGTGTAATAATCTCAACAGGCCAAGTAAACGATTCCTACAAAAAAACAAAACAATACCTTTGACTTATAAGTACCTACTTAATTTTAAAAGCTTAACCTGTTCTAAATGAGACTCACTTGACTTCTCGTTATACCATTATGAGACAACCATTACCATTACATTTTTGTTTCAAAATTTTTCAATAAGATTTCACCCGAAAGAACACACAACAAAGCCGCTGGTGTATACTTGGTTGCCTAACTCAAAAAACCCACATCGTTACACAAACGTATAATAAAAAAAATATTGTATACTTATGTACAGAATAAATTTTGTAAAATAATAAACTAGTATTTGATAAGAAAAAACTGATTCTGGCAAATGAGATACCCTCTAAGAAGATAGAGGGTAGGTGGGTGGGGCTAGTATTAGATAAGATAAGACTGATTTTGGCAGATGATATATCTTCTCAGAAGATAAAGGGTGGGTGGGGCTAGTATTAGATAAGATACGACTGATTTGGCAAATCAAATAGCCTCTAAGAAAATAGAGGGCGGGTGGGCGGGTCTAGTATTTGATAAGAAAAGACTGATTTTGGCAGATGACATACCTTCTCAGAAGATAAAGGGTGGGTGGGGCTAGTATTAGATAAGATAACAAAATATAGAAATCTCGGACAACTTTCGACAAATTTCGAAGCTCATTTCGTCGACAGCTTCTTCCACTTTTCCATAATAGCTCAATAAAATATTCGAATTTTTTGGATTTTAAAAAAATTGATTTTCAAACCGAAAATTTTTAATGTTAACTGGAAAACACAAACGCGCTATGTTTAGACATTTTTCATGCTCTTTTGCATAAAAAAAAATTGAATAAGATTTCACCCGAAAGAACACACAACAAATCCTCTGGTGTATACTTGGTTGCCTAACTCAAAAAAAACCCACATCGTTAGACAAACGTATAATAAAAAAATATTGTATATTTATGTACAGAATAAATTTTGTAAAATAATTCGTACCATGAAAAAGCTACAATATCACAACACCCGCACACATCATCTGGTGCCAAATCACGGCCTCGTCTTCGCCTTACTCCTCGCCGAAATATCCTCGATCCCAAACCTCGACAAAAAACTCAAATCCTTCCTATACGAACAGCAGCAAGCTGACGGTAACTGAAAAGTATCCGGCATCGGATCGCCATTCTCCGACAAAGACATCATCCTCCTCAACATGTATTTCTGCTTACAGCTCGTTATATACCCATTTACTCTCTCTCCGATTAAATCGCACGCCGACCCCTCTCTACAAAAAAACCCATCATCAGCAAACACGCATTCTCCCGTCGCTAATTTTTACTTTCTGCAGACTTCGATCCGGATCCCCTGGACATACCCATCGCTCTCCTCCTGGTTGATTATAAACTTCCACTTGTTGTTCTTGTTTTTGCCAACCCGCGGGAACACCGTCTTCTGGACACTCGTACACACGAACGACTCGAAGTCGCCGTTCCTGTTCGTGATGCTATACCGATCCTCCGGAGGCTCGTCCTTCCCGAAGAGGTCATTCCGGATGTGTTTCCGCTGCAGCATGTCTTTGACTTGGTTGTACGGGTAAGGATCGAAGTCCTCGCAGTAGGTTTTACCCTTAGCGCACTTGGGGGCGGTGTTAATCCGGGGGACGTTCTCAAAAATCACTTGATAAGCGTCGGGGAAGATGATGTCTTGGTCGCTGAAGTCGCTAAGCAAGTCCCCTAAAAACAATCTCTTCTTTGCTTTGTACGAAAAACATGAACCGAATTTTACCTCGAAAGAGGATCCTCGTCCTGGTTTTGTTGTTCCCGTCGTCTCTGGATGCATTGGAAGTGGTTAACTTCTTGATGAAAGTGGCTGCAGAGTCGTTCAAAACGCTGCCGACTTTGTTAAAAGCTTGTATGGGAACCGTCAACTGGGGTCGAGCTTTCACGAGCACAGAGAATACCTGAAAAAGTGATTTCATTATTCATGAGCTTAAATTCATATGGGTATGAATTCGTATTTTTAATAATAAATGAATAAAAGCGCGACTACTTTAAGTTTTACGTCGTAAATTTTGTTTTAGTGTTGACGGTAAAAGTATTATTTTAATAGAAGCACGAATTACTTTTTGCCGGAAATTCGTACTGTTTTCTTGAAGCGATAAATTTCGTTTGAATTTTGATGAATGTATCCGACGAAAAATTTATGACGGCGGGTCAACGTATCTAGGATATTATTTCTTTTCCTTCGGGAATGATATATTAAATACTGTCACAGGTGGCTTATATCATAGGCATAAACCCGGATTCCTCTTTTTCAGTGGACTCAATAATACGCCGTTTGATTTTAAAGCACTTCAAAATAAATGTCTAGTTGCTAGTTCTATTTCCAATTAGTTTTAAATTTATATTCATATTCCTGTCACTTCCGTTATACCAGAAAAATTGGACTGGATTTCCAATTGCATTTGTGTATATTTTCAAATAGCAAACCAATAAAAATGGTAAAAACTGCATCTAAATTATAAAATCAGATCTGTCTGGAATTATTCGTTTTATGACGGTGAACCAAATGCAGAGGATGTCACAAATCGTAAAAAGGATAACCGTAAAATCGGTCTATTTTGTGTGAATTTTTTATGGAAGCCAGTGTCTAGCTAATTTTGTAACAGTTTTTTAGTGAGGGAAAAAGGTGTTACTAGGGGAAGGTAGCCAAAAAATTTCAACTTTTCCCCACATTTACATAAATGAACCACAAAGGATATAGACAAATAATCAAAGATGTTGAAAAAAAAAATTACTAAAGATTACAGATATCGACATCTAGAAAGTATAGTTTTTCAGACTACCACTGGACAGGGAAGATCATAAAAATTAAGCAACAGTGAAAACCGCAATTATGTCTTAAGAAAGGCGGTAGGTCCCAAGACCCTACCATAAATAAAATCTCCGTTGCTATTGTGTTGCATTCGGGGCTTCGCCAGGTCCGTATTCACCAAGTTTTAGTGAACTAATGATAAAAACATTTAAACTGGTTTGATAATTTTAGCGTTAATTATAACTGTAATTACATTATAATGTACGAGTATAAAAGAATAAAACATTTATTTACAACTTTATACTGAGGTATTTAGCTAAGTAGAAATGTAGAAAACGTAATTATGGGTCCTGTCCTGAGTGTCGTTTCTCGAATTTTTTAGGTAAATCGCCCAGCGACCGGCTAAAAGACGTAGTGTCATAATTTTCGGTACGTTGTAATCCGATTAGGGTTGTCTTTCTTGCTTAATTAATATAGTTTGCAAAAACTATAATTTCGGCTTCATTTTTTCGATGACTCCTACCATATTTGCCGAATCGCCCATTGAAATATTGGAGTTTTTTGATTTTGAAAAATTTTCGACTTTTCGATTTCTCAGTATGTATTTCAATGTTTGGAATGTTTTATCTTTTAGAATTTTCAATTTTTCGAAATTTTAATTTTTTGATTTTTTAAATTCTAGATTTTTCGATGTTTTGTTGTTTCAACTTTTGATTTTCCCATTGCTCGATTGCTCCACTTTTTTATGTTTCCGTTTCTCGATTTGTCGATTTCTCGAATTTTTGATTTCTCAGTTTCTCAATTCTTAAATTTTGCGATTTTTCAGGTTTTTGATTGTTCAATTTTGTAAATTTTCACTTTTTGATTTTTCAGTCCTCCGAAATTTTTATATTTTTCAATTTTTTGAAATTTTAAGTTTCAATTTTTTTATTTTTTGATATTTCGACTTTTCCATCTGTCGATTTTCCGACTTTCCGGTTTCAGATTTTTCAGTTTATCAATTTTTAGATTTTCAAAATTTTCAATGGTTCAGTTTTGGGACTTTTCTATTTTTCAGTTTTTTGATGTTTCGATTTCTCGTTCTTTCGATGTTTCGACTTCTGAGTTTTAGATTTTTCGGTTTTTCAATTTTTCGTTATTTAAAATTTTTTATTTTTCAATTTTTCTAGTTTTTGATTTCTTGATTTATCGAGATTTCGATTTTTCGAGTATTTGATTGTAAAATTTCACGATTTTTCAATTTTTGAGTTTTTGATTTTCCAATTAATCTATTTTTGAGTTTTAGATTTTCCCATTTATGGATTTCTCGACTTTCGGCGTTTAGTTTTTTAGATTTTTGATTATTCGATATTTCGACTTTTCGTTTTCTCGATTTTTAAATTTTTTGATGATTCAATTTTAAGATTTTTGAATGTTTCTATTTTTCGATTTATGAATTTTTCCATATTTCAGTTTCCTGATTTTTCAATTTTTAGATTTTTTTAATGTCAGATTTTTTGATACTTCGATTTTCCAATTCTTCAATTTCTCGATATTTTAATTTTTTGTTTCGTTGACTTTCCAATTTTTGAGTTCTTTGACGTTTTGATTTTAAATTTTCAGTTTTTCAATCTTTCCGTTTATAAAATTTTCGATTTTTCAGTTTTTAGATTTTTCCATTTTTCAAATTTTCGATTAGATTTCTCTTTTCAATTTTTTGATTTTCCCGTTTCTGGATTTTTTGGTTTTACAATTATTTAATTTTTCCATTTTTTTAATGTTCGATTTTTTGACTTTTCGATTTCTCCATTTTTCAGTTTTCGAATTTTCGATGTTTCAATTTGAGATTTTTCAATTTATCGATTTATGAGTTTTTCGATATTTCAGTTTTGGGACTTTCCAATTCTTCGTTATTTAAATTTTAAATTCTTCGATTTTTTAAATTTCAGATTTTTTAGTTTTCTGATGTTCCGATTTCTCATTCATTCGGTCTTTCCACATTAGAGTTATAGATTTTTCGGTTTTTCAATTTTTCGTTTTTTAAAACTTGATTTTTAGGTTTTTAAATTTTTTGATTCTTCAGTTTATCATTTTTCCCCGTTCTTGGATTTCTCAATTTATTGAGTTTTCGACGTTTCGATTATCTGCTTTTTCAATTTTTCGATTTCTCAATTTTTTCATGTTTGGATTTTTCGATGTTAGAATTTTTCAATTTTTCGATTTTTCTATTTCCCGTTTTTTTTTTTAATTTTCGATTTCTCGATTTTTTTATATTTCAGTTTTTTAATTTTCCAGTATTTATGATTCTTTAATTTTTTGACTGTTCAATTTTTGATTCTTCAATTTTTATATTTTTCAACTGTTTAATTTTTTGCGTTTCTAAATTTTAGACTTTTCCATTTTTTCATTAATCGATTTTTGATTTTTAGATTTTTCCATTCAGCAATTTGTAGACTTTTCGATGTTTTTCAGTTTTATAGATTTTCAGATTTTCGATTTTTCAATATTTGGACTTTTGGAATTCTCGATTTTTCGGTTTTTTCACGTTTCAGTTTTGGGATTTTTCGATGTTTCTATTTTTCGATTTATGAATTTTTCGATATTTCGATTTTGTAATTTTTCAATTTTTCGATTTTTTAATATGCCAGATATTTTAATGCTTCGATTTCCCAATCTTGAATTTTTCGATTCCTGGACTTACTAATTTTTTACTTCTTCGATTTTTCTAATTTTTAGTTTTTTTGAATTTTTAAATTTTAATTTTTTCAATTTTTCGATTTTTCGGGTTTTCGACTTTTCGGTTTTAGATTTTTCAATTTTTCGATTTCTTTAGCTTTTCATGTTTCGAATTTTCGATCTTTCAATTTTTCTATTTTTTGATGTTTCGATGTTTCAATTTTTCGATTTTAAAATTTTTGATTTTTCAATTCTTCAATTACTCGACTTTTCAAATTTTCGATTTCACGACGTTTTCATATTTCAGGTTTTCAATTTTCCAGTATTTACGATTTACGATTATTTACTTTTTGAACTCTTCAATTTTTAATTCTGCAATTTTAAATTTTTCAAGTTTTTAATTTTTTGTGTCCATAAATTTTCGATTTTTCGATTTCTCGATTTTTGATTTGTAATTTTTCCCATTTCTAGATTTCTATACTTTTCGATGTTTTTTAGTTTTTTTGATTTTCGATTTTTAGATATTTTGACTTTTGGATTTCTGAATTTTTCAATCTTTCGATTTTTAAATTTTTTTGAATGTTTCAATTTTGGGATTTTTCATTGTTTCTATTTTTCGATTTATGAATTTTTCGGTATTTCAGTTACGTGGTTTTTGAATTTTTCGATTTTTTAATTTCAGATTTTGTAATGCTTCGATTTCCCAATTTTTCGCTACTTTAATTTTTCGTTTCCGCGACATTTCACTTTTTCAGTTCATTGATTTATAATTTTCAAAGTTTTAAATTTTAGATTTTTCAATTTTTGATGATTCGATTTCTTGATTTTTCGATTTTTAAAATTCTAGATTTTACAGTTTTAATTTTTCGACCTTTTGATGTTCCCAGTTCTCGATTTCTCAACTCTTCGATGTTTCAACTCCTCGACTTCTCAATTTTTGCATTTTAAAGTTTTTCAATCCTTGAATTTTTCGATTTTTTGAATTTTCGGTTTTTTGACTTTTGAATTTCTCGATTTTTCACTTTGTGGATTTTTTGACTTCTCGGTTTTGGGTTTTTCAATATTTCAATTTTTCAATTTTTTAATTTTTAAAATTTTAGATTTTTCAATTTCTAGATTTTTCGATTTTTCAATTTTTCAATTTGTGGCTACGATTTCTTTGTTTAATCTGTTTTCGATTTTTTGATTTTCCCAAATATTTCTCAACTCATCGATGTTTCAACTTCTTGATTTCCCAATTTTTGGATTCTTAGGTTTTTCAATTCTTTAATTCTTAGATTTTTTGACTTTTCGATTTCTCGATTTTTCAGTTTTTCGATGTTTCAGTTTGAGATTTTTCAATTTTTCTTCGATTTTCAATTTATCGATTTATCAGTTGTTCGTTATTTCAATTTTGGGACTTCAATTTTTTGGTTGTTTAACTTCAAAATGTTTCGATTTTAGATTTTTTAGTGATTCTATTTCTCGATTTTTCAGTTTTAGATTCTTCAG